TTAAAGCGTTCCTTTTGCGTTTTTAGCTGCTTCCGATTTTACAAATTTTTGTCACATTTTCCCATGTTCTGTTAAACGCTCAAAATATTAACAGAGATCTTATTGCGATATATTGATAATCAAATTGGGTCTGCCACAGCTGTTGGCACGAAAACGTAAAGTGTTGTTACTCGACCAATTATTTTAGAGCAAAATTGTACGACTGGCTTTGATTTTAAATCTTCGCTTTAATTGCTTTTAAATTTTAAAGTGAGACACAATCTCACTTTCCCTGGGATAGTTCTCCTCTTAAATACTTGTATCTCTATTTCCTTGAGACACCCTCTTGTAGCCCCCCCACACACACACACACACACACACTGTTTCCTTTTCCCTTTCCTTTTCCGTTCAGCTTATGTTTCATGGCTTTCCCCGCTTCCTTACCGACCGACCGGCTTCAATGTGACCTTGGGAAAGTTAAAGTTGTATTAATTCATTTAAAGCTCTCGGCAAAAGCGCTTTATATGCTCTTCACCTCAATGATCTGTCCCATAATCATGCTGCAACCCCCACTGGGAAGGAGGCACACGCCAGCGCCCCAGCACCCCAGCACCCCAGCACCACGAAGCAGACGGCAGCGTCTTTGGTTTTCGCATGGAGAGGATTGGAATAAAGACGAAAACGAGGACATTATGACGTTATTTATGGGAGAAAAGTGCGCAGTCACCACACACAAACCACCCACAACCGCACCCTACCGCCCCAACCACCACCTCCAGTTGCGTGTTGTGGTGCGTGCGAGAGCCACAGGAAGACAGGAAGACGGGGAAAAGACCAGAGCAAAGTAAAAGGAAATGCCAGTAAAATGTAATGTATTAAATTGTTTTGGCTGAAACCAAAGTATAAATATAAGGAAAAACGAAGAAGGCAAAGGAGTGGGGGGGGGGGGGGGGGGGTGCAGGAAAACCAAGAGAGGGAAAGAAAGAAAAAAGCAAAGGGGAAAACTACCCTTAGCCAGGCTAAAATGCGTTGCGGTAGGTTAGGGTTTGGTTCGGTTCTGGAACAGGGTCTGTGACTGCGACTGGGACTTGGACTGGGACTGGGAGTCTTGTCTTGGAGCCCCGTCTCATGGTCCTGGGGGTAGTATTACTTCTCGTTTTTTGCTGCTTTTATTTTCCTTTATTTCCCATTTTCTTTTGGCTGCTTTTTCGTTCGTCTTTGGGGTAGGTCGTGAAGGGAGCGCCTGGCCTGGCCTGCCATTGCCGTTTCGTTCGTTTCGCCTAATGGCAACGCAATTTCCGCCCGAAAACTGTTTAAAAACTCTTCTGCGCCTACGAAAACGCAAACACAGAATGCACTGTGAGAAAATTCGTGAACGTATTGCGATAGAAGATGGCAGCATAATTATAGACAATCTACCCTGCAACCCCCTTCGATATAAAGTGGAAGTTTCGGGGTTCGAACCTTCACTCTTTTCTTACAGTGCAGCAGCGACTGCCATTTTGTTTGCTGCCACACTGCAGCCAGCCCTCACAAGTTGCAAGATGCAGGCGCAACGGGGCACAAAAAAAAAAAAAAAACTCCCTCAGCCAGTGCCACCCAAAATCCCAATGCCTGGCCCTGCCTCTCGGCCTGGCAGGGTACAAATGACATGCATGCAATGCTCATTCCCCCATTGCCACGATGCCACGCTGCCACATTGCCTCCCAGGCGACTCTGCTTTGCAGACCCAAAATGGTCGCCCCGACTCGCAAATGGCAGTTGCATTCGGAATCATGCTGTTTTCCAGAACCCAGAGCCCCGAGCCCAGCGCCCGCCCACAGCCCCCCACCCCCGTGGCAGTCACACCACGTGCCTCTAACGGCGCCGGCAGTCGACGCCTACATGTCGGAAATGTTGGCATGTCGTTGTTGTATTTCTGCTCTAATATCCTTTATAGCAAAAGTGCTTGACGTAAATTGACTTGTTTTTACTTTTGACTTTTAAGGCACCACCCGCCCACCCTCCCACATTCGTATCCCCTATCTTCTGCCACGGGACTGTGGATGGAATAGAATAAAATAGGGGAGGATGGGGCAGGTGTATTGTGAGATGGGTAGTTCTGTTTGTTTGTTGTTGGTGTGGTTGCAATTTGGATACACAGGATATGCAGGATACACGGGGATGTGTGTATGTGTGTGGAGGCCAAGTCAAACAGAACTGAAAGCCGAGAACAGAACAGAACAGAACACAACGAGAACTGAGCACAGGAAGGCCGTTTAATATTTATTTTATCCATGTTGTCTCGATGAAGGAGGAGCATGGATATGGGATATGGGTTTGGGTGTTTAAGGTTGGGGGGCACAGCGGTACGTTGGTTATTGCAGGTGCGAAAATATGCAGGAAATAGCAAGAAGGAATGGAGAGCGCTTGGGCGAAGTCTTTGATGCACTTTGCAGGATCATTGGATGTCCATGGTGTTGCTTTTTATAACAGAAGAATCTGATCTTGATTTTTTATCATTATATATTTCTCCGAAGATCTTGTGATTCATTATATTCTTCCTACAGAAGATAAATAGGCAAAAGATCTATTCGAAATCATTGCCCTTAAACCTATTCATATTTTAGCTTAAATAAAAAATATGTCTCTAATTGTGTTTGAATAAAAAATAGCTGACCCATATGTACGTATCCTGGAGACCTCAAACATTTTTGTTTAATGAGCAATAAATCAATATAAAAACAAAAAATTATCTTATCAAAATCGCTTAGTAGTTTGAAAAGATATAGCGGCTTTACTTTTGAAAATTGAGCGGCTTTCTTTTCCGGAATTCTTAACCTCTCTGGCAGGGTATTCAAATAAATGACAAGCAGATGGGTGTCTGTCTCAGGTGTAGGTGTGTATGTGTGTGTGTGTTTGAGTGTATGAATAAAATATGTGAGTGTTTGAATGCATATGTGGGCGCACGAATGAATGTATGCGAGCGTGTTTGTGTCTCTTTATTTATTTACATATATCTCGGAACATTTATGTGGGGGAAAACCGTTTCGTGATGCCCAAACAGTGCCCCAAAAGTGTATTTTCTTGGCTTTGTCCAGGTTGTTTATCGATTAATATATAGATTTTTGCTCAATTTTGGGGGACACCTCATTCTCTGATGAAATTTCCTCCATTCCTGTACCCCTCTTCCACTCTGCCTAATAGAGTACTTCTGCCTTAAAGGACGCTATTAACAAAGTCTAAAACAAAAGTTAATTACGTTCCAACTGGCTGGCAATTTAAAGATGATCTTAATTGAAGGCGCGTGGTTGGCCTTTGGGAAAAAAGCAATGCGAAAATTTCGACACTTCAATGGGAACTTTATTGCCTAAAAAAAGGTTCCAGCTGCCCCTTCTGTTAATGCCCTGTAGTTTACACATTTTGGGGGGAGGAAGAACAACATAAGAAGAACACAAACATATAATGTTTCGACTAAGGGATACCGCAGTTTAAACAATATTGTACCCTATAGACAGTGTTTTCAATTTGGTTTCCATGGACCTGAACAATTTGGAAACTATTATGGAAAAATATAGAGAAGTCGATTAAAGGCCTGGTATACCCTGGATGTTCTATGGAGTAGCGGGCATTAAAGCTGCCTATCGGCTGGCAGCATCAATTGACCTTTCGCATTTCGGCAGTCGTGCCTCTCCGCAGCTCTTCCTCACTCTATTAATGCTCCACCCCCTACCTCTCTCTCTTGCGCTCAGTCTTTCATCAGGCCAACTGCTCCAAATAAAATACGTTGCAACAAGCCACAGCCACAGCCCCAGCCCCAGCACTAGTCCAAGTCCAAGTGCAAGTCCAAGATGCTTATCTTCTTTGCCAGCTGCTGACGTGCCAGGAAAATCTTGGGGCTGCGGCTGGGAAAATGAACTGGGCACTGGCTTTCCACCTTGGGTCTTTTGCCTGTGTCTCTGGGCTCTGTTCTCTATGCTTTGGGGCTCTGCGGCTCTGGTGAACGTACTCGCAAAAATGCAATAAAGTGCGCATAAATTTACGCGCGAAATCAATCTGGTAGGTTGCAAAATTAGCCAGTGGGAGGGGGGGGGGGGAGACACAAGTGGGAACGAGAGGTGCCGGTTTGGGTTCCCTCTAAAATCGCTTTTTAATAGCAGACAGAACAGAGCCGAACAGAACCTTCCTTCAGCAGTTTGGGCATTTACTCGTTTTTCTTTTCCTTTCGAGTTACCCTTTGGCCTCTTAAGTGTGAAATTTAAGCAGGCAGGCAGCTACCAAAACCGTAGCCAGACTCTCGAAACGTGGCCAGGAATAGCTCGAAAAGTGGTAAAGAAAATTAAGAGGAAAAACTCAAACCCGAGGTCTGTCAATAATTGTTGTTGCTCCCCGCCTCATACTCATACTCGTACTCATACTCGTAATGACTTGGCAGCACCACCGCACTGTTGGGCTGCCAACTTGAACTGATTTAATTAGTATGTGCCCGATACGATACGATACGTACTTGTGTTTTCTGGGCTGCCAATCGATAATTGCTCATTAGCTGCCGAATGCGATGACCAATATGATAGGGGAATGGAATAGGCACTATGGAAGACAATTCGGTGGGATACTTCCACTTGGAAGGATTTACTCTACCTTTCTCCAAACAGTTATTTTCTTTTTCAATGGCTCTGTTCTTCATTAGGTACATTCGTCAGTATCTTCCAACTTCTAGGACCACCCGTAGAACACAATTCAGACTTTCAAAGAGGTTGTTCCAAAGCTAAAGAACTCTCTCGATATTCCCTCTAGAATGATGAAAGATTACAGATAACAGACAGATGGACAGACACATATGCTGATCAGTAATATGTGCACTCTTTAGAGTGGAAAGATTCCTTCTGGCCTGTGTTCTGTGAGCCCTGGGTATAACAAAACATTTTCATCAACAATCCCTTTCTAACCTGCTGTCAAGTAATCGCATTTCATTACATTTTCGGCATCTAAGCCCCAACTAAATTTCTACTTTAGAATTCTATCAAAATTTATAAGTTCCAAAAAAATATACACCGTGGTGCAATGTCTTCTTTTCGGCAATTGAACTACCAGCAATGCCAGACGCTGGACCAGTGGCTGCTGACCTACGGAGTAATGCTGAACCACCGGACACGTCACGAATTCAGCGACGTTTTGCCAGTGGCTAGACTCTTCAACAAGGTCCATCCAGGACGAGTGGACCTAAACAGATATGTATCCCGGAACAGTGTGGCCATGAAAGCAAGTAACTGGCGTATTTTCAATGCACGAGTCCTGAAGAAAATGAATATGGGCCTCACGCCAAAGGATGAGGATAAGTTGGCCAGCGCCGTGGATTGGGTCCAGGATGCGCTTCTCTACAGGCTGATGATGACTGTTGAGGAGATAGCCGATGTTGGGCAAGATTTCTCGTATAAGAACAGTGCTCCTAAAACCAAGAAGAAAAACCAAGAAACCCTTATGTAAATGGTTTCAACGGTGTCACAAGATGACTACGCTTGGAAACCTTTAATAATATTCACGAGATTTTGAATACTTTTCAATGGTTGTACTTGTGCTCGGACTTGTGCTCAATGTCAAAGGACCGATCCCCACGGACGAACATTTGGTAGAGGACCGAGCCTGAGCATCGAACCAGTCGAAAAGTGTTTTCAATAATCGACAGGTAACTTTGAACCCTCTAACCCTTTAAAAAGAATATTGTGCTAATATACAAATATATTTTTATTATAGAATGGGATTTTGCTAGAACTTGCTGGAAGATTTGGATGATTACATGGATTCAACATAAGAATTTTGCAAGAACAAACATTTATTTCATGTACAACAAAATTAGTGAAGTAATGAAATAATCGAATTGCTCTATTCAAATTATTTGTTTTGTCTTATCCTAGTGTGTGAAGAGATCTCTCGGAGCATAAGGACAACAATAGCTTGACATATTTATTATGGTCCTGTGGAAGAAAATGTGTCAAGGGAAAATTAACCAAGGCTTCAGGTTTTGTTGATGAACTGCTTGCAGAATAATTTCAAGCGTAAAGGGACCAAACCTTCAGGTTTCAGTAGGGCACTGCTTGAACTAAGCCTGCAGGTTTCAGCAGCGCACTGCTTGAACAAAACCTTCAGGTTTCAGCAGCGCGCTTCTTGGTCCCGTGCTTGTGAACCAAGGCTTCAGGTTTCGTTGATGAACTGCTTGCAGAATAATTTTAAACGAGAAGGGGCCAAACCTTTAGGCTTCAGCAGCGCACTGCTTGAACCAAACCTTCAGGCTTAGTCGCTACTCAATGATGAAGCAGAATTAATCATTTCGAATGGATAAATATAAATAAATAAATATAAATAAAGCAGATACTGGCTCAAATGTCACCTCGATTGATGGAGGCAGGAGACAATAAGGTGGCCGTTTGTGGCATGACCTTCCGCTTCCCCTTCCCATCCCGTAAGTGCATAAAATTAATAGATATTTATGGCTGGGACAGGCATTAGCCGCTCGCGGGACGCACAGGGTGTGTGCCTTTGCTGGGTGAAAGCAGTGCAATATGCAATTGCATTAGTAAATCCTTGTAATCCCCACATTAGTCGTCTCCCCACTTTTCTCTGTCCCTCTTTCTCTTTCTCTTTCTCTGTCTCTATTTCTATACGCTTGTTGCCATCTCATTCTCTCTTTTTCGGTCTTAGCAAAATTACCTTCACGACCCAAAGAGTATACGGAGAGAGAGAGAGAGAGAGAGAGGAAACAGCCCCCCCTCCCCAAAAAGTGGGGAAGCCTGACAAACCACATGCGATTACAGAAGGTGGTGGCAGAGGACGACGGCAAGGGGGGGTTGGTGGGGGGTCCTGGGAGTCTAACAAATCGTTGAAAATATGCGATGCGTGTGCGTCGTTCCGCAAGAGGGGAAGCTCCAAGGCGGGTGGCAAGCAACAAGCGCCAAGGTAATGCATGCCATGCCCCAAAAAATACAGTAGTCCCTGCCTTATAGTGGTACATGCCATCAACACAGATCCTTTGAAATGTATTCGTAGATCTTAGATGAATCTAAGTCGAAAATTCCCCTTTCAAAGACTCAGTCGTACATCTCCCTCTTCTATATATTCTTTCCACAAAGAAAGGTCCAGCAATGTTTTATCTAGTAGCTGATTTATTTATTTAGCAGTCCAAACAAATCTGTAGAGCATACCAGTGCCTCATCAATGGCATTCTTAAGCCATGCACACTGTTGACACTGAACGTGTATGTGGGCACCCATATACACGTGTATGTGTATGTGTATCCCCTGAAAGGAAAGAAAAAAATCCCCCGTCACAAGGCGGGCAAACAAGTAAAAATCGCATGCAATTTGAAGAAAAATATGCGAGAAGTAAACTTTTGAAACGACGCATTTTTTTCCACTACTTCCCTTTTGGCCCGCTCACGCCCCCTCTCTGGCCATCCATCCCTTGGGCGCCGTGCCTTCACTGCAGTCTTTGGGGTGGGGTTGGCAAAAACAACCCCTCTGCTCATCATAGCCATGAAATGTGCAAGTGCGTTAGCCCCAAAACCAATTTTCAGTAATGACTGCATTTTGCCGTCGTCTCAGCTCTAGCCCCGTGTGGATACCACCCACCTCCCGGACGTTGTCGGTTTAAATGCACAAAAGCGCGCCAAAGGACATGCCAAGGACAAACGTTAGTTGAACTGAGTCGACGAGGACGAGGAGCAGCACTAGGAGCCAGCACTAGGACCAGCATGAAGACGACGACAACGACGACGACGACGACGCCTTGCGTAATTTGCTGCGGCAATGGCGGCAAAACACATCGCAAAATGGCGACAGATCCAAAAGGAGTCATCCCTCGCCCCACTCCCACTGTGGCACCCACCCTCTTGCCTGCTGCTCCCTCTCGCTTTTGCGGGTTTTACAATTTTAAGATTTATTTACGTGCTTCGGGGAGTTTTTCCCTCTCTTTTGGGCGGATAAATGCATGCGTTTGTTGGCCGAGACGCGCCAAAAACTTTTCCCGCCCCCCCCAGCTCAGCCCCCAGCTCCTTAGCCGAACGTCAGTTGCATACTAAATGGTTGGGGCAACCCCCCTGCTGCCTGACTGCTGCCTGCAACCAGGGTTTGCATGTGCGTGTGTGCATGACTGCAAAAGTCAGCCTGTGACCTGTTTGTCCTCTAAAGTGAAATATTTTGCAGCAGGCGAAATGCAATTTTCTATGCGTTGTGTGTGGGCGCACACACACAGAGATAGATGCCGGGACAGCAGGAAAATCTGAAAAGGGCAACTCTGGTGCCGTGATGGCAGCGTGACACGAGCGCAACTATCGAAGTGACTTTCTCTGAAGAGATACCCACATACCAACAGCATTTGAGTCATAGTAGAGCCTCTGAGATCTTTTGGAAAAAGTGGTTCTTTCTATTGTCCCATCCCCAATGGCGTTATCTGCTGGAACTATCGGCTATTCGACCATTGCGTAAGATGTCGCTGGGGCGTCATTTAATGCGCCGCCAGTTGTCTTAGCAGCCAGCAGCAGCGATGGGGGGAACAGGACGACGCACATTGGGGGCCGAAATGGAGACGTCGCTGGCATATTTCATTCTCCAGCTACTTTTTTGCCGCTTCATTTGACAGGGCTGGGAATGCGATGGGGGAGTGGTGCAGTCGTGCAGTGGTGAAAGTGGCAGGCACTGGCGGCAGGCAAGGGGATCTCCATCATAATCTTGCCTTGTCGCATTGCCTCTGTGTACTGTGTGTCCTGGCTGCGTGGAGCTGCAGCCTCCGTATCCTCCCTGTCCTGCCCTTGCTCATGCCTTTTCTGGTCTTCCTGCTCTAAAAACGCAGAATGTATTTGAAATGTTTCAGCATTGATAAATAGTTCTGCGCTGTCCTGCGGGGATGCAGTCAGCTCTGTGGAACCTTCCTCCACCCCCTCTTCCCCTGAGCGTGTGTGGGTTGGCTTTCGAAATTAGGAAAATTAATGTGGGAAAATGCTTTGCCCCAAAGTGAAGCGAGGACGAGGCAACAAACGCATTTCATATATCAAACCGAAAGATGGCATTGCTCAAGGGGGGGCGGGCAGGTCCTGCCAGCACCACGGAGGGACAGCACATTTCGGGGGACTCTGCAAAAATGCGGAATATATATCTGGCATTGATTTTCCACTGTAGAATTTCCTTCATTGAAAGATTGCGGATTCGCGGAATAACAATAAAATCATAAATTTTTTGTGTGCCGAATATTTATGGATGGCTTAATATCCAGTTTGGTACTCAGAATATCAATAGGGGAAATGGTTATGGTGCCGTACAGGAAAGATCGAAGGATAATTAGTTATGGGAAATTGTTAAGGCAGAATATGAGAAACACAACTGATTACTAAGAAGGGATCGGAATAATATCATTTGCCACTGAAAACAGTGACAAATAATGATGAGCTATATTTTTTCCTTTTCCAGATATGATCCTGAAATATCCTTTAAATTATAGGATAACACACCACCCATCATTTGGAATTATCAAATTTTTAAAACTGGAAAACTAATTTTGTCCTCTCCTTTATGTTTTGTTAATTATTGTTAAATAAATAAACAAATAAAATTATGTGCTTTGAAAGGGAATTCCGGAATTTCCTTCAGACTCTCTTCATTGAAGCCTCGAAGCACGCCTCCGATTCCGCCTCATATTCAGAGACAAGTGGGCCGGATACCTCTTAAAGATACACATATCGATCTCTTTTCTCTGGAAATACTTTTATTGGTTCGAGGAATATTCTTTGTCCCTACCTCCAAAAGCGCTGATGCTCCCCTTTCTCGATGCCTCTTCCAGTTTGCCGCCTGGTCTCGGTCTTTTGACAGGTTCCAGTTCTGTTGTGTTTTTTTTTGGGTGTCTGTCAAATCCAATAATTGCTCGCACCTCAACACCAAAGGCTATAAAACAGAGACAGTAAAAAACAAGACCTGAAAAAAGTACACCAAAAGTTGTGGAGGTTAAAAAAATTGTAAGCAATTTGCACGCGAGGCGATAAAAATCATCTTAAACGCACGATTAATGTCAATTTTATCAATAAAATTATAAATAAAGACATGAAAACGAGCCGCAGAGTAGAGCGCGACGAGACGCGAGAGATAAGCGCGAATGAAATGCGAATGGGAGTCACAACAGGCCAGGGGAGGGGGATCGAGCATCGAGAGTCACATTCGCAAAACAACAACAACCAGAAAAGCGGGCAAATTATTGAGTGTGGCAGCCAGCTCACGTTGCATGAGGCACAGCACCAGCACCAGCACCAGCACAGACCAAAGAAGCGGAGACGTTAAACGCAGCTGGGCCGGCTGCGGCTGCGGCTGCTAGCCTTAATCCTGGGGAGAGAGAGAGAGAGATTAACCCATTGGCTGACGGGGGGGACCCTGGAGTCGAGTGTGGAGCTGATGCAAATGCGCAGCTGCCACATGCTCTGTGCCAGAAGCCGTAGCAACCTCAAGATGCGCGGGTGCTGTGTGAGAGGGAGAGGTACAGCGGGAGTGGAAGAGTGCTAAAAGTGGCAATTCGGCTAAAAATTTATTTCAATTCATTCAACATGCTTGGCACGGTGCGCACTGTGGCACCAAACGCACAAATAAGAAATAAGAAACAGGCATGAGCAATAAGAGTAGATTCATTCCTTGCACAATTTATAAAAAATGGTATCAAGAAATTACTAAGTGATAATTTTTTTGAAAAAAAAAATTATTTTGCTCTCTGTAATGTGCGCTCTTGAATAATACGCTAAGACTGAAGAAATATGAAAGGAAATAACCACAAATAAAGTGCAAATGAAATCAGATGACACGATTTCACATTCATTGAATTATTTTTCCGGCTTAAAATTATAAAAATGCAACTGGAGGGTTCCACAACCGACCTCCCCTATTACAATTTATAATAAAAGAAATCAAAGTCGATATAAATATATAAGAAAATATGAATATTAAAATTCAATGTATTATACAGGAACATTAAGACTCAAATATTATTTAAAAATCTTGTAAATAAAAAATAAATATATTTGGGTCACACTTTTAAATATTTCTTTCATGCTGATTAGTTTGATTTTCAATTAATGATTTTTTGAACATTTTTCTTAAAGTTTGACTTTCATTTTTAGTAAATTTTGAAACAATATTTTACCCAAATCAATTAGTGGATATGTATGTGGTGCGTACAAAATGCCAGATAAATGTCTACATAATTTATAATAATTGATAGTGTAGGAAATAGTAGGTAAAATTTTAATCATCAGAAGGTGAGAATGGTTCAAAAACATACTCTTTCAATCGATCATCCATCCCACTGTGCCTCGTCTGCGGCGGTCGCA